TAACTGCTCATTGCCTGGCTCCTGTTCTTGATGGTCTAGGTGTAAAGACTGTGCATTTCTGCAGTTATAGGTCAATCACAGTTGATGGGCCTTGGGGCTATTTCGAGGTGTCACCAAACTTGTTTGGGGGTATTTGTGTATCAATGGGGGGCATTTGCAGTAGCTCCTGACTTTACACATACACTGAATGGCTCAGACATTTTTAACACCTTAGGGTGACATTGGATGCCTGTTGGGAGAAATGTGAGGATGTCACATGCAGAACATCCTTCCTGCATTCAGTGCTCCTTTTACAGGGTGTTTTTGAGATGGATATTTAGTCTTTTGTTTGATTTAGCTGCTAGGTCAATGGAAATGCATGTGCAGTTTCCTTGCCTTCACTGGCTCAGCCTCTCTTTAAAGGGCTTTCTTAGGTGCACGTGTGATGATGAGTGCATCAGGACTCTGCCAACAATTTTAACCACTTTTATTATTGTATGGCATGGGTCTGGTATCGGGTACAACAAGCACCCCACTGTCTCAACGCCTAATGGGTTGCCAGCCATTAGCGGCATTTGATTTTCTTGTGGCAGTCTTGTGACCACCATCCAGCCGCCTGGAGGAAGGGGGAAGGGGGAATTGAAATTGTGGAGACCCCAAGATCCTTAGGAAAAGGGCCAGCAAATCTAGCAGACCTCTGATATGGCACAGATCAGGTGGCTCGTGCGAGCCTACAGCCAACTGGTTATGGCCAACCATAAAAGAACAACTGTGTCGTGAAAAATGTCAAGGTTTTGAACCTGTTTTTTTTTAAATAAAAGGAGACATTTTTGAGGGGAGGGACGTGAGCAAGAGATGCAGGCCTTGCCTACCCAATAATAGACGTGACAAAAAAAAATGCCTGGTAAAGACAGAGAAGTGTGCACTGAGACAGCATCTGGAGAAAGGGGGAAGGACAGAAATTAGATGCAATGGGCTAGATTCACTCCGGGGCCGCACAGCCTTCGACTGGCACAGAAAAGGAGAGAATCGCGGGGCTGACAGAGCATCAGAGGTGTGGTCAGCACCAGACATCTAATCCCTGCCACTTCTGCTAGTAATGGGGGTAGAGGCTGCCTTCTCTAGTGACCTATCCTCTCTTCTTATTTAAAGCTCATTATGGAGATCTCCCAGCACCTGTCTCCCTGCAACCCACACATCTGTTAGTCTTGCCCCTCTGCTCAACACTTGGCTGAATGGGAGCTGATGCCGTGTCACTAAAAGAAAGGCACGGCTGTGCTCCCTCGCATGCTGAGCCACAGGACACTTGCACGCGCATCTCTCACGTGCATCAGGGTGAGAAGTGACAGCTCACACATATATGGTGTCTTCTGCCAAAATGATCTCAACTAAAGGGCCACGTCAAAAAATACTTAAGACAAGATCCCCAGTGCTCAGAGATGCGGCCCGAGGCCCGTGCGCTCCACTCACGGCAGAAGACTAAAAGCTTGAGAGGCATTACAAACTCACGGAGCTCACTTTTTCTTTACCAATGGGATATGGGCAGGCCCCTCGTATCTTGTTCAGTATGGTCAGTTAACAAAACACAACAGGTACTAAGTGGAGCTATAGAACTACTGTACATAGCAATCTGCACCTCGGCATATGTAGTGCAGAACAAGGGCTTTTGTGTGTTCCAGACCAATACTAAACACGATGCGAACCTGCTTCACGGTTCATTGTGCAATGCCTGCTCCCACTTGCAAGAGTTTTGGTCAGACTAATGCAATGGGACAAGTTGCATTTATGTCGCTGAAGGAATCGAGGTAGGTGTCTCAGACCCAAAGCCTCAGACCAAGTGTTGGAACAGCAGGTGGCATAGGAGGTCCATTCAATGCCAAGGCTTGATCAGAGTCTGTAATTAAATCCAGCAGTATTAGGAAAGATCAACAGTTCCCGAAGTGGGGCAGCAGAGAAGTTCCCCGTCCAAAGCAGCTGGGATCCACCCCCTTGCCCAGTCTTGGAAGAAAGGGCACATCATGATGGGGGCAGGGCGTGGAAGGACGGGGTCCTGGCGGTTCTCTGCTAAGTCCATGTTCCAATGCAGCATTATCCATGAAAGACGCTATCCTGATGTTGCAAGTTAGAGCTGTAAGGATGCTCACGATGCTGAAAAACATGGAGTCGGAGCAGTGCTCTGACACCCTGCCCCCCGGGTTTGCAGAATAGTCTCGGGCCTGACTTATTTACTCAAAAGCTCATTTACATCACCTAGGCAGCATAAAAGTGTGCGGGCCAGCTCCCGATCCCGTCCTTGCCAGGTGCGAGCCGGGCCCGTCTTTGTGCACGCGGGCTGTGGCAGCAGCCTGGGCACGCGGGGCCGGAGAAAACCGTGGCGCGGTATGGTACGCTCGAGCTAGAATCAGTCACAGAGGCGTAGTGGTTGACTGAAAAGATTATTTACTTACACCTAAGGTGGTCGCGGTGTAGGCTGGTCAGCTTTCCAGGCGCAGCTCCGCTTGAGTTCTCGTTGGAGGACTCTGATAAACTCAATTTCTTGACCCCGGAGTGGTTTAGGCTCCGCGGGTTCAACAATTCTTTTCTCACGGAGTAGCTGAATCTCCGTGGGTTCTGTTCGGTTCCCAGGTCCCCCGGAGCTGTTAAGACTCTGTGGGTTCGAAAATTAGGTATATAAGATAGGGATACGTCTAGGGTTGCGATCGGCGACGGGGAGAGGCTAGAGGCCGTCGGTAATTGGGCCACGGAGTTGTTAAGGCTCTGCGGGTTCGGTGATTGGAGCCTCTGTTGCCCTCTTAAGGAGAAAGCTGGGTTCGAAGGGATCCACAGCGCTTAGAAATCTTCACGCTCTTTTCCCGAACTCCACTTGCTTTCTCTCTCTCCGGCTTGGGCGGAAACCACCCAAGCCTTTTGTACGGCTAGCAAGCCAATAGCTAGCCGCCCAGTGGGCCCATATTAAGATTGGCGAGCACACACAAACAAAAAACCACAACTTTGGGTTGTGACAAAAAGAAGTGTTAAAAGGGGTTGGCTATTTCCCCCTTGAAGCTGTTTCAATGCACTCCTTTTCCTTACAATCATTAGTCATGAGATGGGGAGGGAGAGAGAGAGGAATGAACTGTGGGCTGCCAATATGGGGTAGAAGTGTAGATAGTTGACACTAATAGTTACAACAAATAAATAAGCCAGCATAATGTGTAACAGCTTGGCATGCAGCAGAAATAA